AAAATTTTTCCTGAAGTGTGTTTCAGGAAGCTATTTAGTAAGTATTTAATTTTTCAATTCATTGAAACTTTTCAAGCATCATTAAGAATTGTGGGATGTCACCCTTGAGTATGGGCTGTTCACATTTGGTGAAACTTTCCACAAATGAGGTATTAAGCACTAAGAAACTGAGCAGTTCTCTCAGTGTCTTCTCCTTGGACCCACAAAAGCAATGCAGAAAGCCTTAGAATTTGGATTTGGATTTTTTTATTTATTTAATAGCTAGTTGGTTTTCATACACCCTGTAAGTTGATCACTTTTCTCTGGACTAGTTAAGGTGGTATGTAATTCATTCCAAAGCATAACTCTGATGATGTTACAGTGCATATGGCTAAGTCAGATGTTCAGCCAAAATCTTCCTAAAATTTTCCTAAATACTTGTTTTCAAGATTATTATTTTCCCATTTATTTTTTCTTTTATGCCAAGGTTTGTATGCAGCCTAGACTACTATGGTCTGTCAATGAATGCAGCCCTTCTAGGTGGGGACCTGTTCCTCAATTTTGCCCTCATCTCAGCCATTGAAATCCCTGCCTACTCTCTAGCATGGTTGGGTGAGTCTCATGTCACTTTGTCACTTCCTTTCATCATATGTTGGTAATTTGTTGGAAGTATTGGGGATGAAGGAATGAAGAGAGAGTGGATCTTCATTCCCTATATCCATGCCCATATCAAGTTCATCAAAATGATCATTTATGTCAGTTTCTGTAATAAATATTTTTGGAAGTGTAGACAGAAGCACAGGTATACTGGGTGCATCTTAAGTTCAGTAACCTCAGTAATGGTGTGATGAAAGGTTGGGTATTAAAAAAAAAAAGTTCCCATTATTTTTCATTTCTTAATGCTGTTGACATGTTAAAAATATTCTATTGAAAGTTTCAAGTTAATAAAGTTTGCACAATGGATGCAAAATGAGACACCATCCTGGAGCTCCACAAGGCCAGAAAGAGTAACTGGGAGATTCTCAAGGCCCTCAAGAACCGCAACATCAACAAGGTATTCATCTGGAGAGAGGTGAGGCAATTCAAGGAGACTGGTACTGTAGCCAGCCATCCTAGGAGCAGTTGTCCGAGGTCCCAGTGCACTCCAGCAGTCATCAAGGTTGTCAAAGCCAAGATTCGCCTGAACCCCCAGAGAAGCATGCGCCAAATGGCCAAGGAGGGCAACATGAGCGAGGCCACAATGAGGAGAGTGGTCAGGAACGACCTCAAGATGAAGCCCTACTCCCTGCAGAAGCAGCAAGTCTTATCAGAGTTGACCAAGGTCAAAAAGGCATGCTCAAGAACTTGGTCTTCACGGACGAGAAGAACTTCATGGTCCAGAGCATCCACTACCCCCACAATGACAAGGTCCTTGCTAAGGACATCTCCAAGGTCCCCACAAAACTGAAGAC